CTTTAATAAAATGTTCAAATCAATACCTCAACATTTCAAACATTACTCTTCATCTTCTAATCCATTTCAACTTAAATTCTAAAATTTTCATATTCAGACAACTTGCACTACCTTTAAAGAATCAATATTCTATATTTATATACACACTGGAATTTAATTATGTTTCTTCCGTTGAAAACTAGACTCGAATAATAATCTATCCATATAAATAAATCCTTCTAATTCATTATGTACAATTTATGGTGAATTTTCAAAGTTGACCGACAGATTCTGTTTTGTGCATAATCTGCTGCCCGTTTTTCTGACCTTTCCTCAGTTAAAAATTCATATCTTTTTATATACACCTTGAAATTGATTCTCGTTTATTTTAAACAAACATAGATTTATATAAAAACACAATATATAAAAATAACCTCCAAATAATTTTTATAGAATTTCTGGTGAATTGTCAAACTCACTGCCAGATTTATTCCCTATGGCTGAATACCTCTAAATCATTTAGGGGATTTTTATTTCATTTTCAAGCATGAATTCAACCTCCTATGATTAAATTCATGCATTTCCAATCATAAAAACATCAAATTGAATCAAAATCTCATCCTTCTCATAATCCCTAACATGGTCAACCCTTATTTATGCATGTACAATTAATTTTAACTATCATACAAGCTTTAGAAATAATTACTAACATCAAAAACATAAAAATCATTCATCAATTCTTCAAGATCACTAAACCTCCTTAAACCTTAATCATGAAATCTCATCACATAATCATCTTCACCATGAAATATTGGTACCAAATGATAGAGAATTTCATGTAGATTAATTCTCTATCTAATAACTAAATCCAAAAATCAAGTATATTGCTTAAAAAATCCAAATAAAAATCCTTGCCTTGGAGAACTTGGAGTTTCTGCCTTGAAGACGTTGAATGCTGATAATAGCTTAATTGTGTTGAATATTCTAGCATTTAAAAGAGAAACACATGGTAATTTCCAATTAATTGAATTTAATATCCAATTAATGAAAAACCTCAAAAATACCCTTAATAAATCTTGAAAATTACCAAATGCCATTGTATTATCTTCCATTAAAATATTTCTTGGTGAAAAATTAATCAACTTGGCTTTGACTTTCGAATTTTTCCATGCAATATTCAAATTTTGCATTTTAGTCACTAAAATTTAACTGTTTCGGTCAAATCTGAAAAATTGTAATGTTCTGAGCGAATTTCTTCTGATCTAAAATATGAAAATAATATTTCCAACCATTTTCTAACATCCTTAAAATTTTCGTAAAATTTCAGTTCGATCCGATTATCCGATTTCAATACCGAACTTTACTGCTTTATAACTTTTAACATAATTCCCGTATCAAAAAAATATGATTCTCACTAAAATCTCTATTTTAATCCAAACTATTCATTTACAAACTAAAACATATAACTTTTAAAAATTACAAATTACAAATTTCAGTCCCTACACTTTTCAAAGTTTATACTTTAGCCCCTAAACTTTCAAAAGTTATATTTTAGTTACTGGTTCAAATTTGGGGTATTACAATTGCACAATGATTTATAATGGTTCAACTCTCTTAATGAAGTCTACATCCACTACATAAGATCTTCACTTAGGATTTTCCTACAAATCCACTAATTTGGTCTTTTTTTCAAGGATAAAAAGATAACATTTACAAACTCCCTAGCTTTTCAAAGGCTTAACTAGAACCAAAGCCCCTTTACAAAGGAAAAGAATTGTAAACAAGAAAACCTTTAAAAAAGAAGGTGTTTTCAAATTAAAGCTCACAAAAACACAAATATTTACAAGAGAAAGAGAAATAAAGAATGAAAAGATTTTCTCTTATGTTTGATTGCTTGGATAAGTGTTGTGTAACATTCTTCAAGTGTTTTGAACTTGTTTTTATATGTTGGAGTGAGTTACTAGTCATTTTTAGCCGTTTAAGAAGGTTTGAAGCCATTAGAAGACTTTCTGCACACAAATTTTGAAACTCTTCAAAAAAGCCGTTGGAAAAATATGACCGTTGGAGCCAAAGTATCGAAACTTTAGGGAAAGTTTTGAAACTCTTGAGATAGTTTCAAAACTCTTAAAAAGTATCAAAACTTTTTGGAAAATTGTCTTGGAAAGTTTTGAAATTTCTGGTCAAAATACTCATTTTAAGGTTTTGATTGGACTTAGAATTATTTTTGAAAACTTTGAATAAATTCAATTTAGTCCAACAAACATTTTGCTCTTATTTGTAATATCAAAATACAAGTTCTACAATCTCTCCTTTTTTGATATAACAAAACCTTTAAAAAAATAGTTTTTGACAAAATGCTTCCCACTTATTAAAACATTTAACGAAAAAGAGAACTATTAGGAAAAATATTAAAGCTCCCCCTTTTTTATTCTTGAAATTGAATTTTTCAGACATATACTTCTCCCCATTTTTGTTATATAAAAATAATTCAAACTTTTAAGGTAAAAATAACAATAGAGAATAAGTAGTAATTTTAACATTAAAATCATTTGAAAAATCAAAAGTTTCCCCTCAACAAATGCATTCCAAACAAAAAATTGACTTTAAAAGCTTGACACGACATTGAATTTCGACAAAGATGAACAAACATGTTAGTAACACATGAAATTCAATATATCGAAGTCTAATATGCTTTATACAATACCAATTGTTGCATTTAAGTGCATGTGCATAAAGCTATCAAAAAATGTTATGCATTTGAAAAATTGATATCAATTGTTAGAGAGATATCATTTGCAATAAATTACATGCATAAACATATAAATTAAGGTCAAAAATTAAAATTTGTAAAAACAAAGCATTAAAGCCAATTTTGACCAAAATTATGAAAACAACCCATGATCTAATCATGTCAAATCTTTCTTTAGTTGTGATCTTCCAATAAGATAAAATTCTCTTGAGTCTAAACTCTCCGACGATGATAAGAGTAAACACGAGATTGTCTATTTCTTGGGGACTATAATCTCTTTATATAGCTGATTTAAGAATCAATTATTTTCTGTACTTATAACTCTGCCGCTCATCAAATTATAAATACAACTTTAATAGTATAGTATCTACATATTTATTTTCATGACATTTCTAATACGTTATGACTTTATAACATAATTGATCACTTAATTTATGTCATATTTTATGATAACAATATACATTATAAATATGTGTCCGTAATTATGGATTTTAATCCAGCATAACGGAGATAATGAACAGAGAGGGTATTCGAGATATCCATGTACTTTGTGCCGAGAGACTTTTATACCGACTTTTAATGTGTATTATTATTATACATAGTTTGGTAAAATGAATTGACCTTATTATTATGTAGTACTTTATTTTTATGAATTTGATCATTATCAAGTTAAACGTGTGTAATTGTTCAGAAGATGTGGAACTTTGAAAGTCTTGAACCCTAAAGAGGTCCCCTAAGATTCTTGACCAACACAGGATATCCGAATGAGATGGAACACTTGTACCCCTTTACTGAAGGGAGAGTCGTAAAGTGAATTGAAACAAGACTTATAAAAGTGTTCAAGCATGTAATTTGCTATTTTCGCGGATTTTTTTCCGTATATATATCTTGCGGAGGACTCTCTACACGTAGGTTTAATTTAACAAATGGATTGAGATATCTCTACACTAAACCTGTTGCCAAGGACCTCGACGTTCGAGTAAATTTGTATAAGCCCGTAATTCGAGTTATCTTAATTATTGTAAAAATTAAGCAAGTACATTTTAGATTAGGCACATTTGTCTCCGTGGTTATATGTATATCATGTAGAGGATTCTCGTCACCTCGGTGGGATGCCTGGGAATGACATCTTGATGTTTTGTAAATGCCAAGGATAAATTCGTATAGCCTTAACGGAGGTATCTTGACTCTCTTTGACATGCGGAGAGAAAGTGATATAATTTTATAGTTAAGGTGGGGTGTAGATATCTATGCATCTTCGGCTAGAAAGGAGACAACTCGACACCTTCAGAAGAGTTTGACTACAGGTCGAAGATACCTGTCTTGGTAGGAGTAGAGAGGGGATTCTTTCCTCGCAAAGGCATCTCAATACTCGTAATAACAATGAAGAGATTCATATTGTTATAACGAAAACCTCAATACTTTTTGAAGATTCCTTTGAGTCGTAGTAGTTAGAGAGTGAGGAATTCTTGCTTGATAAAATACTATAAAAATATGTGGAGACATCTTTACGTCCTATAAATTGACACTCTTATTTTCAGAACAAAAGCTTCTTAATTCTTTTTTCCTATTTAATTTGAAAGGAGTAAAGGCATCTCAACATTCTCAGCCAATTGATAGATGAGACAACCCAACTATAATCACATATATATATATATATATATATATATATATATATATGCTTATTAGTGTGAATATATTTACACTTCACGAAATAAATGTAAAATGAGTAAAATTTTGGAGGTGAAGGGCCCAAATAAGCAGTGGGTTTCATAGAGCCTTTGGACGGCCTCTCTATGACGTCCAACCTTTACTAGCCATACTCAAAACAACATGTCAACCATTTAGAGTTGATATACATTTTTGCACGAACCGAAAGACTTTAATGATAAATGAATTATTATTATTTTTCGATGTCTTGAATTCAAGGGCTAAAAATATGAGGGATTTGAGTGTCTAATATCAAATGGTTGAGAGTTATCATCGAACAGATACTATCTTATACTTACCAAGGATTAATAAAAAAAAAAGAGAATATATATTTAAATGCCGATAAGAATTATATGGTGTATATATAAAATAAAAGATTTTAAACAATTAAATATGTTTGATTTAATATTTTGTGCATATTTCATTAACGATATATCAATCAAAATAAACTCAATTATATTTTTTTTGATGAATTCATGCTCCAGTTGATCAACAAATAGAAGAACATAAACCCAGAAAAAAGTTAATGTAGCAATGAAATAATTACACGCACAGCTTTCTGTACAGTAAAGGTTTTGAATGTAATTAATTAAATAAAAGTATATTTTACATTGGACCTCAAGAAAAGGTAGATCAATCCGTATACGTACGTACGTATTTGTACAGAGATTACAGAACAGAACCTTCGTAAATGGTCGACAATCTGAGCTTAAACGATCTGACGGCCAGTTTAGCTCGTCTGGAGGTGTATCTCTGGAATTTTCTAATGGAACCAGATCTCGACATCCCAGGCGGCTGAGGTTGCGGCTTGGCAAAGGACTTGTCGTCGGGAACCGATCCGCCGGCGGCGGAGGCCACCACTATCACAGGCGAAATACGAGCCTTCTTGCGGCGATTAGAGTCGTTTTTGGAGTCGTTTTCGATAGCACGACTGGCTTTGAAGGCCAAAGCCGCCATGTCCGTGGACGCCAATCGCTGCTGTAGCTTCGAAACGGGGAGGACGAAGTAGATTTGGTTAGCTTGCAGCTGGTGGTCGACATCCAAGGCCGGGATGTATTCGTCGTAACATAAGCTGTCGGAGTTGCAGAGGAAGATCGACGGAGAAGCTTCGGCGTGGAGAACCTGGGAGACGAAGACGGGGAGGCAGTATTTATGAAGATCGCCGTTGATGGAAACAACATGAGCAGCCGGTCGATGAGTTGAATCGGAGACAGAGTCTCCGGTACCGGAAGAGAAGCAGATTCCCATGGCATCGACCGGAATCGCAATCAACAGAAGAACAAGAATCGGAACGAATTGAGAGAACTTATATTCGCAGAAACAGAATCCAGCAGAGAGAGAGAGAGAGAGGATAATGAAGGGTTTGTTATTCTTGTTAGGGTTTGTTTAATATAAATAAAGAGGGAATGGAATGAATGTGGACGGGGAAGGCGCCGTGGAAATGGTTAAAGAGAGTCAAGGAGTGACGTCATCGACGCCGTCACGCGGTGGACATGAAGCACCGGTCGTTCGTAAAAGTCAAAGAATATAGTTATATAATCAATTAAATTATGTAATTAAAATGACAAGTATAAAAGGGGAAAAAGAAAGCGAAGCAAGAAGTGAGCAATGAGGCGTTGTTTTGAGTGGTGTGTGTGAAGTCACATACTTGGGGTACAAACACAAGTAACGAATTTTAGATTTAATTATGATTAAAATTCTTTATTATGTTATTACTAATCCGATTAGAGTCAAATTACCTGCCCCAGTTATTGCCTGTGTGTCTTAATTGCGGCGGAATTCATTTCTATAATATAACAACGACAATAAATATAAAACAATACTCTATGAGATAAATTATATATTTACTACATAAACTATTACTTTTATTCAATTTTGATACCCTAACTTTATTTTTTTAATATTATATTTAACGTGTGGTTAAAGTTTTATTTTCTGTATCTTACAGTTAAAAATTAAACGGTGATGTTGATGTGTCATCATAAAATAATATCATATTATCATTAAGAAAAAATCAAACATAAAAACAACACACTTCCATATATATGTCTATAAAAACTATCATGTGTTCTACATGTTGTAATATTTAAATAGTGTTCGAATTGTAAAATAACAAATCATTAATAATATAGTGTAAAATTGTTATTATAGAAAATAATGGTATGAAATAATTACATCAATAACAGTGGATTATATTCACAATTTAACGGGTAAATTAATTATAACAATAACAAATGAAATAATCATGCTATTATTTCGTTGCGATAAAATAAAATAAAAATTTGACAGAAAGTCGTTAGTTTTATTAAAATTTAAAAAATATATAAAATTACAATGAAGATTTACAAGCATAATCGTAAACTAAATTATAATTATTACATTTTCCTATAATAATTAACACAAAAATTAACCACCTAGATCACACAAGGATTAAATAAGGAAAATGTTAAAAAAACCTAACCAAAATGCTCAAACAAAATAAAGATACGAACAAATCTAATTACATCGGTAAACGAACCACAAAAGGGGATTAAGCTATTGAAATACCACTGACAAATCGCAAATCAAAGTCGAGCGACGTGGGAAAGCTATCCGCGAACGTAAAACGCATATCCAAATCAATTCGATGGTCTAAAGCATGTAAGATCAACATGATAACAAATAAGCGTCATCTTGATCAATCGTGATGATATCAAATATAACATTGAGAGAAAAAAAAAGATAAATGAAAATAACGGTCAAACAACCAAAACTACCAAAAGACATATATAAACATGCCACAAAGACAGAGAAGATCAACATGATAACAAATAAAGCGAAATCTTGATCAGTCTTAGTAATGTCAAATACATTCCTGAGAAAAAAAGATAACGAAAAATAACGGTTAAATAACCGAAAACTACCGAAAGACATAGATAAACGGGTCACAAAGACAGAGATAAACGGATCACAAAGAAAAACTTATTCCTATTAAAAAAAACTAAAAAACAAAGAGAGACAAGCGAATGTCAACAATCAACCTCAAAACCGGTGCCGTCTTCCAGCTAAACAAAATTAAAGGAAAAAAAAGTAGATTTGACAAGAAAATGACAAAAAAAAAAGAAAGAGAAGGAGAGGGAGAGAGAAGAAGCGACTAGGATTTTGCCATAAAATTAAAAAAAAAAAATTACAAGACATTTCATAATGAGCTTAATACGTCTGCAATCCAACACGACCAAAAATGCAATTATCCCTGGGTAATACTAATCATACATAATTGCTGTTTCAAATGTTTGTAGAAACTAAGTGTGTATAAGCGATTAGTCTTGGTGATATGTATTTGATATTCAAAGTACAACATTGCATAATCAACCCTACACATCGCTCAGCGACTTTATAATGATATGATATTTAAACAAATACAGACCATAACTTTCTCTAAAACAAGAATCAAAGTGAAACATACAACTACAATACAAGCACGTTAATTTCTATTTATTTCTCTCATTGCATGGCTTACATCTTCTAGGACAACCGTCTTTTGACTCTCCGTTGCTTACGTTCCAAAATTTCAGCAGTGGCAACATTCATTCAACCTTGTGCCCATATCTTCAACTATGCCTTCTATGTATGGTCACAGGGTATGTGAGATTACCACAATCCAATATACATGGGACAAAGGGCAGAGCCTAAAGGGCATACCCCATATCTCAGGCTTGCTCAAAGGCAACCAGCAGAATATGCACCTGTGCACAGGCCAGTCAGTTTTATCCTTGAGTTTCACTTGGGCTCAAACGTCCAAAGAACCATGCATAATATGCCCATATTGTTACTTGCTTCGAAATGAATTACCCCCTCTACCGATTAAATCGTGCCGAAATCCAAATTTTCCCACTTAAAGGGAGAAACTTGACCGATGTCAGGCGAGCCCCGTAGGAATAAGCAGACACAAACACAGACAGCAGCAATGGCGAGCATCGAGTGGACATAAGGACGTTGAAGCAAACCTTGTGAACCTGGAAACCTATGTCTATACTTTGTTGCCACAACCACACACTTGGCGCAAGAGCTACGATTTTGCTTGAGCTGTGAACTTATATTGCTTAACTGCACTGCAGTGATGCCCGACTGCTCATCACCGATTGTCAGAGAAACTTGAGCATTCTTTTTGTCAGCATATTTTCCAGCCACCAATTTGTTGTAAGAATGGTTGTTTCTCATCATAGCATAGGCATATGGAGACTGCCCATTTGTATCCAGAAGGGAATTCCAGCAGTTCAAACCAATCTACAAAAAAGTTGAAAAAACTTTTCGTAACTTGTTTACAAATAAATGAAATTGAGTAAACATGGTTTCATCGTTTATGTTCAGGATAAGATCAGCAGTGTATCAGAAGAGGGAAAAACTACTGATCTAGGATGCAAGAAATGCTGTAATAACTCATACCTCCTGGATCATTCGTCAGCACATCTACCAAATCGTCTGATCCTGATGTACATGCAGCCAAATGTAAAGGTGTGATTCCACCAGCACCTTGAAGATTTGGTGGGAAGATATATATTTTTGAGCTTTCATCTCTGCTATTAATAGAATAATGTACAAGCAAGTCGGCCATATTCCTACACCTTCTTTTCACTGCTAGGCTTAATAGCTGAATCTCAGAAAGCATAGCCAGCGACTCCTTAGATAGCCCATCCATATCCGAGTTTCTTTCCACCAGCATGTCAAGAAGTACCTTTACCAAAGCACAATAGTCTCTCTCAACAGAGAATATGAGCAAAAATTTGAACCGGTAAAGGGAATGATCGGAACTCTTGGGCAACGGATCAGTACTTCTTTGGAATACCCATCCGAGTTCATTCAAAAAGTGAAGGACTGACTCCCTTGACCTTGGACGCCGACAATCATATGCATGCTCTTCAGAAATAATATCAGAAGCATTAGCTTCTACGTCAAGTTCAGATTCCAGAAGTCTCAACTCTTCACAAATGGCAGCATCTGCTATTATAATAGGAAAACTGTTGCCCTTAAATCCACTTTCCACCTGCTCAAAATTTGGGAAAAGTCAAACACAACCCTCCAGAATTCTGAGGATGATCCAGAGAGTCGGACATAGTAATTCTTAGACATAAAAGTCTTACCTCAACGAAACAACGACCTAGTGCTTTTGGTGATGGAACCTGAATCTTAAAACTGCCCATGTTTACCTCGTCACATGTAGCTCCCTTATATGCTAAACCACTAATCTCAATTGATGAGTATCCTCCCATGTACGCACAATGAATCCTGCACAGTTTTCAAATTAACATTCTAGAATACAAAGACAATATGAAGAAATTTTAAGTTCTCATATAAAATGCTCATTTTGCTTACTTGGTGCCAGGATTACTTAGATTTCTACCCCTCACTAAAAGAGAGGTTTCCTGTCCCCCCACAATGGCCAGAGGAGACGCTGAGATCAACTCAGGCGAACTATATGATCTCAAGGATTTGCATAGACGAATCTTTCCTGAAAAAGTCGATAAAAAACTTTCAAAACAGTTTATAATTAACTGCATACTTCAAATCAATCAACTAAAAAGTGAATACCTTTGAGATCATCTTAAACCTAGTAAGTGATAATAAAGACAATCTCAAGGAGTATCAAATAAATAATAATGTTTTGGATAAAGTAGAATAGTTTGAAGCTGAGCAACAAAAGCCACAAATTTCCAACATACATACCATCTTTATGAGATGCTAACTGTTGGTTCCCAGTATGAAGTAAAAACCTTGCCTTCCTCCAAAAATCTGAATCTGAGCCTTGCAACAAACAATAGACATACTGAAGCAGGTTTCCTTCAAGCTGAAAAAATACATGCCATATAAATGGTCAGCTCAATGTTGGACGAAGGAAAAGTGACAAATGCAAAATGTAGTAGCACGCTCACATGCTCCCAGGCAGCAGATGACATTGACACATAGATTGACAGAACCACACATCCAGGCCTTATATAGCTCTCCATTTCAGACGGACTATTTGAAAGCCAATTATAAATCTACAAAATGAGTTATCAAAATCATCAGTAATTCCCTACAAGAAAGACTTCTATGTAATCTCCGCTTCCAATTATACGCGACAAAAAAGCCAAAATTGGCAAATTAATCCTCACCTGGGTTCGCAGTGTACCAGGGAAGTGGCTGGGGTCCTTGTCAAACAGCTTAAAAATTATTCGCCCAGTACGATCCTGCTCAGAAACCATTCAACATTAGAAATGTTAATGTAACACGCATACCCAAGCACATGCATGGTAAAAGAAATA